GGCCCTGACCTTCTGGGCCATTGCTCAAGGTTTTGTTTGTGGTAAGCAACCCTGAAGGATGAGGTAATATCTTCTCCAAGACAGAGAACAGGCTTTGTTACACACTGTGTAGAGAGAGAGATGGGTTTCCCCGGCTTAGTATGCCTCTCTGGTTATGGAACCCATCTTGAATGCGTCCATCTAGATCCATCTGCACTGCTTTGAATGAACTGGGGGCTCCGTGACCATGCTCTGCTTAGCTGCTGCTTTTATTTTGAATAGCAAAGCCTTTGTCTTTGATTTAAGAAAGCATCCACGAAAGTGTGACAAGTTAACTTGTTAGTTTACAAGTAGAGTAACCTCTTAGACCCTTCACAGACATTGACAGTGCTAATACTTGTGGTTGCCTTCTTATTCTGTTGCCTCTGTACTTTAAAGATATGGTTCCTTTTACTGGAATATTCAGTGAAAACTGTACTCAGTTCTCATGAGCTCTTTGGCCAAAGTATGAGTAGGAACCTTTATTCATTATCATATGTCTGGGAGAAGTCTAGTGTATTATTTAAATGTCTGTGTCTGGGTCTCATCCCCCAAGTAAGAATTAGGTGACTTTGGAAACTGTGCCTTTGAAATTTACTTAGATGGTGGGGCCCCAGTCACTAATTTGTAGGTCATTTCTGTTGTTTATAGGTACATGTGAAATATACATACACATGAGCTGATGATCAGCTGAAGCTCTGTGGCCTAGTTCTGAGACGACTGTCCTGTCTTGCAGGAAGTAGTCATGTTGTGTATGTTTTGAGAAGGACTGTGGTTCTCTCCAGCCGGACATGTCTTCTCTATCAGAAATGGCTGCAGTTATTACTGCATCTTACTACTGAGATGCTAGCTTGGCCAAGCAGTCAGTAGCAACAAACTGCATCCAACACAACCACCCGTACTTCCAAGAGTTCTTCATATGCCAGTTGTCTCCTATTCAACAGGTAACTTAGACCTGTGCCCTCCAAACTTCACAGCAACCATTATGGCTGAGTATCACACTGCCTACCTTATACCCAGGGAAATGGGAACTAAATTGCCTAGCTCCTCAGCGTCAGAGCTTGGATCATGACACAGAACTCTCTGAGTTGAAAATCTTATATTGGTATCTATCTAATTCCACTTTCTTCATAAACGCTCTGCCAGATGCAATGTGATCTGTAAAATTCACCACGAAGGCCACCATTCGCCAGTTCACATCTCCCAAGAATCCATATCACCTACAGAATGAAATCTAGTCTTTCTGCCTTTTAGCCAATTCTAACATATTATCTTAACCCTCTTTCTAGCTGCATTCCCTACTGTGTGCCCACTAACGTATCCTAACCATAGCCAAATAGAAATATTCATAATTCTCTGTAGTGTAACCATTCTTTCTCATTTGTGCTTTCCTTAGTGCCCCCCCTCAAACTGAGGCAGCCCACTTTAACAGTTTACCAAAAGCTTACCATTTTTTAAAAAAATATTGTTATTAGTTATTGATGAATCTTTATTTTATTTATTATTTATTTATTTATTTATTTATATGTGGTGCTGAGAATCGAACCCAGTGCCTCACACATGCAAGGTAAGAGCTCTACCACTGAGCCACAACCCCAGCCCCAAGCTTGTCATTTTTAAAGGTCTTAAATATTACTAACATGAAGCTTTTTCAGATTCTAACAACCGAATGTATGCTTTTCCTCTTTTTGATAATACAGTGTTGTTTCCATGTTTCGGGTCTTCGTCACACATTGTCTTGGTACACTCTTTCCTTCAACTGCCTCTGGAAAGCAAGTTGTCCTAGGAACCCTGATATTACTTATGCTTTCAATCCATGCATCCTCCTATGTACCCAATATCTCTCTTGGTGATTCCAGAAAGAGATTATCCACCTTAACACAGGCAGACCTGAGCTCCCAAACTCCCTTACAAACTTGAGCTCCTGTGGTGCTCCCATCTCAGTGAGTGAGCACCCTCCCTACCTGACTAAACCAGAAATAGGGATCCCACCCTTGACTCTTTATTCTCTCTCACTTGTCACATCCAGTCAATATCTAATCCTCTTTCATGTACCTCCAAAATACTTCTGAAATATAAAAATTCAAATGTCCCCTATAATTTTCCAAGGTCAAGGTCTCACTTAGATTACAGTATCAGTCAAATTGACCTTCAAACTTCCAGATTTGCCCTACTGTAGTCACAGAAAGCCTCAAAGCTGCAAATCTTACCATGTCATTCTCCTCCTCAGAAAACTTCCCTGCTCAGAAATTGACCTTAGGGTCAAATCTAATCAAATGGTTTATGCAACTTTTCTTCATGGAACGATTTTATACTTCTTTAGCCATATCTTTCAGAATTTCTTCCCCTTGTTCTTTATGCTTAGACCATTCTAGACCACATTCCTTTCTTTAGATAAGCAATTTAATTTTTACATTCAAGAATACACTACTTGTGCTGGGGTTGTGGCTCAGAGGTAGAGTGCTCATCTACCATGGGTGAGGTCCTGGGTTTGATCCTCAGCACCACATAAAAATTAAGATATTGTGTCCAATGTATGACTAAAAAATAAATATTAAAAAAAAAATTTAAAAAGAAAGAATACACTGCTTGCTGGGTGCAGTGGCGCACGCTTTTAATCCCAGCAGCTCAGGAGGCGGAGGCAGTAGGATCGCAAGTTCAAAGCCAGTCTCAGCAATTTATTGAGGCACTAAGCAAGTCAGTGAGACCCTGTCTCTAATAAAATACAAAATAGGGCTGGGGATGTGGCTCAGTGGTAGAGTGCCCCAGAGTTCAATCCCTGGAACCTCCCACCCCCCAAAAAATACACTGCTTGCTCCTGCACCGGGGCTCACAGTTTTGCCCAGCAACTTCTTTCCTATGTCAGTTTACATGTGACCTCGGACCCTCACAAAGACTGGATTTGGTGTCATCCAATATCCTATAATCATGCTGTGTGCTCCTACTTTCAGACTCCAGTGTTACTATGCTGCCTTCATGGTTTGCTTCCCTCACTCTATTGATTAGAACTATCCAGTAGAACCCCAGTATCTGTGGAATTCTTCCCTTCAAGGTATTTGTCTCCCCAACTAGATGTGAAGCTTTGATATTGGACTGGGTTCATAGAACTATGAACCAGAAAAGAACTTAGTTTGTGGAAGGCATAATAAAAAACTGGTCCTTCAGATTATCAGTTCCTGTTTTCTGAAATCTTTGCAACTAGTCACTCTGATTATTAGAGATATTCTTGAGTTTTTAATTGCCATAGTTTTTTGTTGTTGTTATTGTTGTTAGATTAATAGTGTCTTTGTGGCAAGCAAGGGTTAATAGCTGTTTGAAAAAGACCCAGAGAAAGGAGGAAAGAACCTGTCTGTGTTCACGATGACAGTAATTTATGAGGAAAGGTTGGAGGAGCAAGCCAATCAAATACTGGATGCCAAATTACCATATATCACACAATTTACGAGGCAGTCAAAAGTGTTATTAAAGTGGAGAACAGAACAACCTTCTTAATTCATCCTTATGACAGTGATTGTAATGACTCTAAGAACCTGGTTTAACCTGAGTTTCTCTTTGAAGGCCTTTTCGTTTTTTAAAATTACATTTATTGCATTTTAAAGAGAGCTTGGCTTAAATGTATACAGTTAAAGCATAATAAAAAAAATCTCTAAATAAGCAATCTACATTTTATACTTCCATTGCTGGATCCCTGTCAGCATCTATGGAAGGCATGCAATGGATTTTGGATTCCAAAATTGTAGAATCTAAACATTTTCTCTTTTTCTCTGTAAAACAAAATAATTAGTCTCCAGAGTTTACCAAAGTAATAATCTCTTTCTTTCCTTTCTCCCTTTCCTTTCCTTTCTCTTGCATTCTTTCTTTTTCTGTTTTAGGCTCCCATGCATCCAGCATTTCCCATAAGCTCCTAGTTTTTCTATTTTAGTATCTCTGGGGAGGTCAGCCTATTAGTGTTTTGGGTCTCATTGATCCCTGGCCTTGTGGACTCGAGTGAAAACCATGAGTACAGTATCCTCTCTACCTCCATAGCTGGCTTTTAAGGAGCTGAGATGCTGTAAGCTATAATAACCTCGCCTGACTTCCTACCCTAGCCTCCAACTCCCAGCTCTAGGCACAGAATGGATGCTCAGTAACAAGCGTGGCATGAATAAATAAATACTTTTACTTATTCTTTAAAAATTTTTCTTGACTTCTGTAATTCACTAGTCTATGCTGTCCATTTGAAACGGACTCAGATAAGTTCTAAATATGGTACATTGCTTTGCATGGAGAAATTCTTCTCAGAGCATTGCTGTACTTGTATAAAATAAGTGGGGTGGGATGCAGCTTTTCCAAAGCTCATTAAATGGCAGTGAGGACAGAATTTCAGTGTCCTGTGTGCCCTGGTCTCAGTTCTTACAGCAGCTTGCACCCTTGGTAGCAGCCAATCAGCCTATGGTGGCAGAATTTCAATCCACTGTGCCTGGATAGCTTTTGGTCCTTTGCAGTGTATGGGCACCCTCCTGGAGAACAAGGTAACTTTACCTCAAATGAGCTTTTCTCCCAAAAGGACTTTTTTTCTAATGTCCCTCAAGTTGGGCCACGGTCCCTGAGAAGTTCTGGTACTAATTGACTTGGTTTTATGACAATGAGCTTGGTAAGAATTAACCCTTGAGGGCCTCGAATTTGTCTACTACAGAGGAGCACATAATAAGTTTCAGTACCCTTCCCCTCCACCCTTTTACCATTCTCCTTGTCCCCGTGGTGATGCTAATGATCTTTTGTGGAAGGAGGTGAACGACAAAATCCAAGAAAAACTCCCAAATTATATCAGAGCTGACTCTTGAACAGTAAATAAGTATCACTAATACAAATAAGGTTATAAAAAGATGTTTTCAGCAGAAATAAAAACTCTAACTAAGACAAAGAGATGAAAAATAACCAGAAGCATATGAATGTATGGGACATTTCATGAAAACTCATTTTGAGGCAAAAAATGACCAGAATTGAGGATGGAACATTAGGGTTAATTTATTGAGGAATTTCTAGGTGGGGCCAAAGACCATCGACTTTGATTTGAAGTCAATGATGAGACATGGAAGGGTTTTACACTGTGGTGGATAAGAAGATCAGATCTTTGTTTTTGAAAGAACACTCTCTTTCTGGTTGTATTGTGGAGGATAGGTCTGAAAGTGAGAGTCTAGGGAACTATTAAGGAGGTTGATATGGAAATTTGTTAAGAGGCACTGAGATTTGAGCTAGAACACTGAGATAAGAGGAAAAGATGCCGTTCCTGCCCTGCCAAGCTTTTCTACAGAGATGTTCATAATTCCAATTCAGGTCAGGAGACCTTTCTTCTGGCCCACCCTGATTCAACCCCTCTCTTTCAGTAGTGATCAAAGCTTCAATCACAATGTAGAATTTTAGGCGTCATAGGCATCAATAATGAGTAGAGCAGATTGTGGTTCTCTGCTCTTAATAGGAAGGGTGGGCATTAAAGGATTTGTCCATCGTGTAGCTTCGTACCATTCTTAGAGACACTGGTTTGACTCTTCAGGGAATTTCGTTAGAATCCATGACTGGTGATTTCTTCTTATACCACACCCTAAAAATCTCCCCCCAAATAAGGCTTTTTATATTATATTTCTAATGTTTGGCATATGCTTGAATACTTCCATCAACAGGAAATTCCTTATCTTTCATGGAACTATTTTCCACATTAGGTTAATCAGTCTCATAAGAATCTCCATCAACTTTGTTAGAATGTCTAACTTTTTGTATTTTTCATGTTTTTTTTTTTTTCTGAACCTGGTGGAACATGACAGACCTGAACATCTCAGGTGACATTCAAGTTTTGCACGGTCTTCTCTTGAGATTGAGCATTCTCTACACCTGTGATTATTTCCCAACTTTCCATGGCTTCTGATCTCTCTAACGCTTTCATGTTCCTTTGGATGTATTTCTTTTCATGTGGGCCACCGATGATTCTATTAGGGCAATTTACAATCTTAAAAATAAGTATCTCGTGGAGATTAGCTATCAGTGAACTGAGAGTAAAGCTCCAAGGATAAGAATAAGAGAAGGAGGAAAGAGGGAGAAGGAACTAGGAATCAAGACCCTTCAGCCCCAGAGAAGCTCTTTCATGTGGCTGTGGGGCCGCAGGTAGGACTACAGTCAGTTCCAGGTTGCTGTCATCTGAGTTGAAGCTTCTTGAGGAAGAGGTACCCAACTGTAGCACTGGTGAGCAGGGCTTGGGCTATACCATTCCTGAGCCCCTCACTGTGGTTGGGGTTGAGAGTTTCTCCTGTGGCTGAGGAAACGGAGGGTTGGGAAGCCATGTGGTGTCTGGGAGCTGCCGCAAACCAGTCTGGAGTGGGGGAGAGGTGGTTCTCCAAGGGAAGGGGGAAGTGTTGTTTCTGGAAAAAAGAGGAAAAGGATTAGGGTAGTCAAAATCAACAGAGGTCTCCAACAGAAATTGTTTGAGCAAGAAAAAGAGGTGAAGAGTAAAGGCAGCCCAAGATAAATGAATCCTCACACTTATAGTGTAGCCAGTCTTTGGAAGAGCCCAGTTTCTCAATGCCAGACATCCGTTCCGTTAAATATTATACTCTCCTGCTTAAAGATTGGTTTAAGGGTGTGGTTCCTGAACAAATTCTGACAACTAGGCCCCTGGGAGCTTTGAGGTTTGTCCTGGATAGAGTGTGGGACATTCTGACCATCTACCATCCCTCAAATGATGACTCCTTTCCCTCTTGGGTTGTGGAATTGCAAAACAGGCATCATGCCAACGTGCTAGTGAGAAGATGCCTGTGCTCTCCACTGGACGGAAGCTGGAGGAGATGGCAAAGATGTGGCCAGCCTGTGGGTCCCTGGATCTTCATATACCCTAAAACTTCTACCAGATTGAAGGTCACGTTAACATACCTAGGGTTTGACCTCACAATTGAATGGCCACTTAGAGATCATCTTCATAAGCTATTCCAGCCCAAATGTTTCCCTTAAGTGATGTTTTGAAAAGTTGTTTCAGCCTCTTTAAGCAAAATGCCTGCCTGTACTTTATCGTAATGATTCTCTCAATACCTCCTCTCCCCAGAGCATTCGTGCATTGTAAGTACCTTCTGTTTGCTGCTGAAGCTATTTATTAATCACATTCTTTCCTATTCTGCCCTAACCAGGAGAAATGACAATTTTAGGCATTTCTCAGTTATCTACTATAAATTGGCCCAATTACCATCTGATCTTATAGACTTTTCCTTGGGATGTTTCACCCACTCTGGCACTGTAATTGGTTTGCTTAAAAAGGAAGACGGAAAACAAATGGGGTCTTCACACTCTGCTGTGGGGTTTTGTTGAAGCCTAAGTGTTCTCTGAAATGGTTAAAAAAAGGAGTTTTGTATTCATTACTATTGTAGAAATCACACTTAATGAACACTCAGATGTTTACCACAATTTTAGTGAGAATATCTCATTTTTCAAACTTTGTAAATCTGGAAATTGAGGCTCTTTGTCTTTCCAGGCAGGGTAGGCCATGGGTTTGAAGATCTAAATTGGGTGCAGTAACTGTTCATTAAATATTGAAAAATGAGCCCTCACAATCAAAGCACATGAGTATGGTTTAGTTGGTCTTTCCATAACTTTTCCTCTAGTTGCTAGATGTTTGCCCACTATCCTTGCCTCACCCACTAAAAGAGAAGCACATTTTAAGCTTTATCACTTGCAGCCTTGAGGGAATACAGTGTCCTTGGGAGATGCCACAGAATGAACACTGGGGGCACCTGGGTGGAAAGCTGGGGAGGTCAACTTCACCAAGAAGAAATTCTTGATTGATTGTGTCTTGGGGTGATCCTGATGACCAAGAACTCCAGGAATGAGCACACTGTGCTCTGCCACTTTGGGATCTGCATTTTATGTCACTGAGCTATTTTTGGAAAAGAAAATTAGAAGTTAAACATGGTACCCTATGAGAGTTAAGGCAACCTTCCACTTGTCTCATTTACATTTCTAGCCTCCTTCAGACTCCGTTCAGGTTTTATCTCCAGAAAGTCCTTTCTGAACTCCAAACCTGAGTAAGTGATTTTTCTACGCTTGCAGGACCAAGTGCCTCCCAGTCCCTCAGACACTGCATCGAAATGATTACTTATGCCTGACTTCTTTTCCAAGGCAGGGACTCTGTCTCATTCCCCTGTGCATCACTGGCACATGGCACAAGGCTTGGTGTAGTAGGTACCTGTTACCTGATTGTGGAATCTGATGTGGGCTCAGGGATTGTTATACAGGGAAGGTTTCTCTGCAGAATCACAATGAGGCACTCACAGTTAAAGACTGTATGGGTCAACATGTGAAGGATTTTCCTCTGGGTCTTTAGTATAGCATGCAAAAGAGAAGAGGGAAGTACTGCTTAGGGACATGAACACAGTCTGTTGCAGTAGGCTTGGTGGGTAGACATAGCACCAGGTAGGTATGCAGTGGGAACCCGGCAGCAGAAATTTCCCTTGGATCAGGTATGGGGAACACAGATTGGTGGAGGGATTCTAGACAAAACCCTCCTTTTGAACAATAAGAAAATAGCTGCTCATAGATTATGTTTTAGGACATTAGTGAACCAACCCCTCCTAGTCTTTGAGAGATTTTATACTTCCCCAAGTTCTGTGGGGACATTGTTTTATTCTTATCCTTAAAATTGAATATTAGATAGACAACCCCAGGATCATTGTTTCCTTTATTAGGTCATGTGTCTCCTGAGTATTACTGTAAGAACTGGGGGAAGGGGAGTTAGCTGGCCTTCTCAGCTCCAAACCCTGGGGATAGAACTCCCTGTCTTTTCCTGAAGGTTGCCATGTAATTGGCCTCATCTATTAAATGTACTGTATCATCCTTCACTGCCATGCATTTAATTATACATTGTGGAAGGGTTTAAATAACAACTTTTACTTCTAAAAGCCTGCTCCAAATCTTCCAGCATTACTAATAGAAATCCCAGGGAGTAAAGCTTGTATTAAAATAGAAAATAAAAAATGCATAAACTGAATCAATCCAATGTAATGGAATTCTTGCCAAAAACATAAAAAGCATATGCATAATATTTTATTAAACTTAAGAAACACATATAAATTCCTCTGTGGGATCCAAGTATATTAGTAATAGATATACCATAAAATTCAGTTACTCAACAGCCATAAAAGAGAACATGGACCAAGTAAATGCTGTCATTTTAAAGTAAACATTTCAAAATGAGAGAAAAATAATACACTTACCATACAGTTACAACTGGGACAATGGCAGTGATATAGTCACTGGACATGAGTCATCTATGGACAGGTACAGATCTACTGGTAAGAGTAGGAGTACAGTCCTGTATTAATCAGTATTCTCCAGAGAACAAGAATCAATATATTATTGGCCCTGAAATTTAATATATATTAAAATCTCATGCAATTAAGCACTCTGGGAAGACCCAGGATCTCTGATTAACATGGAATCTCAGGAGAGCTGGTGGGATAGATCCAGACTTATGCGAACAGCCTGAGAACCAGGAGAACTGATGGCACAAGATCCAGCCTGGATCTGAGTTCACTGGATGAACACTAATGTCTCCACTCAAAACAAATGAGTAGGGAGCTCTTCCTTATTTAGCCTATTTATTCTTTTCAGGCCTTTGACTTTCTGGAGGAGACCCACACATATTGGGGAAGGCAATCTGCTTTGTTCAGTCTGCCAACTCAAATGCTAGTCTCAGCCAGAAACATCCTTGCTGACACACCCCAGATAATGTTTGATGTTTGACCACTTATCTAGGTATCCCATGACCCCATCAAATTGACATGAAATTAACCATCACAGGTGCTTTGTCCTGAGGTGCTCCAGTAGAGGAAGGGTGTTCACCTAAGTTTGCATCTCTGTATGTACAGACAACCCCAGGATCATTGTTTCCTTTATTCGGTCATGTGTCTAAGACAACGTGAAGTATTAACAACTCTTGGGCTGAACGTAAAGTATGCAACGTGGCATTCATGGATTAATGCATTGGTGTTTGTGTTTTTTGTGTGTCTAGCACTTTACATCAGTAGCCATTCTTCCTCTGGATGCTTGGGTAAGACTATAATAAAAATTGGTTAGAAAAAGACAGATGAATTGATTTTGATGGGATTTGACTCCTAATATAGAATATCACTTTTCCTATGAGAAAAGGCTCAGAGTTAGCAAATAGAACTGGAAATCTTTTTTAAATTGATTTTATTTTTTAAATACATGACAGTGGAATGCATTATAATACTTATTACACATATAGAGCACAATTTTTCATATCTCTGGTTGTACTCACACCAATTCATGTCTCCATACATGTACTTTGGATAATGATGTCCATCACATTCCAAATCATTGCTAACCCCCTGCCCCCTCCTTTTGCCTCCCACCCACTGCCCTATCTAGAGTTCGTCTATTCCTCCCATGCACCCCTTCCCTACCCCACTATGAGTCAGTCACCTTATATCAAGAAAACATTTGGCATTTTTTGGAGGGGGTGTGGGATTGGTTAACTTCACTAGCATTATCTTCTCCAACTCCATCCATTTACCTGCAAATGCCATGATTTTATTCTCTTTTATTACTGGGTAATATTCCATTGTGTATATATGCCACATTTTTTAATCCATTCATCTACTAAAAGGCATCTAGTTTGGTTCCACAGTTTAGCTACTGTGATTTGTGCTGCTATAAACTTTGATGTGGCTGTGTCCATGTAATATGCTGTTTTTAAGTCCTTTGGGTATAGACCAAGGAGAAGAATAACTGGGTCAAATGGTGGTTCCATTCCCAGTTTTCCAAGGAGTCTCCATATTGCTTTCCATATTGGCTACACCAATTTGCAGTCCCACCAGCAATGTATGAGTTTGCCTTTTCCCCCACATCCTCACCAATACTTATTATTGTTTGTCTTCATAATAGCTGCCATTCTGACTGGAGTGAGATGAAATCTTAGAGTAATTTTGATTTGTACTTCTCTAATTGCTAGAGATGATTAACTTTTTTTTATATATTTGTTGATTGATTTTGTATATCCTCTTCTGAGAAGTGTCTCTTCAGGCCCTTGGCCCATTTATTGATTGGGTTATTTGTTTTTTGGTGTTTAGATTTTTGAGTTCTTTGTATACCCTAGAAATTAGTGCTCTATCTGATGTGTGAGGGGTAAAGATTTGCTCCCAAGATGTAGACTCTCTATTCACCTCACAGATTGTTTCTTTTGTGGAGAAGAAACTTTTTAGTTTGAGTCTATCCCATTTATTGATTCTTGGTTTTAATTCTTGCACTATAAGAATCTTATTAAGGAAGTTGGGGCCTAATCCCACATGATGAAGATTAGGGCCTAGTTTCTCCCTCTAATACACAGAGAGTCTCTGGTTTAATTCCTAGGTCGTTGATCCACTTGAGTAGAGTTTTGTGCATGGTGAGAGATAGGGGTTTAATTTTACTTTGTTGCATGTTATTTCCAGTTTTCCCAGCACCATTTGTTGAAGAGGCTATCTTTTCTCCAATGCATGTTTTTGGTGCCTTTATCTAATATAAGATAATTGTAATTTTGTGGGTTAATCTCTGTGTCCTCTATTCTGTACCATTGGTCTACCAGTCTGTTTTTGTTTTGGATAGGCAGAATTAATATTATCAAAATGACCATACTACCAAAAGCACTATACAGATTTAATGCAATTTTAATCAGAATCCCAACAGCATTCTTCATAGAAATAGAAAAAGCAATCATGAAATTCATTTGGAAAAATAAGAGACCCAGAATAAGTAAAGCAATTCTTAGCAGGAAGAGTGAAGCAGATCTTAAACTATTACTACAGAGCAATAG